CTGTAGCGCCCCCCCCCCCCCCCCACCCTTGAGTATGAATCGGGATCCAATTGGCCGTTGATAAAATATACTAAATATATATATATATATATATATATATATATGTATATAGTATAGGAGTTCAGATCTCCTGAGAGTGTGGATAGGTCTTAATTAGGTGAGCTGAGAGAGAGAGAGAGAGAGAGAGAGAGAGAGAGTTCTTTTATATGCCGCCGTGCTACTGGCTACTCAAATATCAGTTAGTTAAGTTTACGTTATTATTTTGCTGCATGCCGATAGACTTTTTTTCTCGGCAACACTTAGGAATTCAGTTGGAAGCACTCTTATATGAAATCAAGAGCGGCATGATCATTTTCTGGCATTATTACTTATTACTTATTGGTTATTGGCTATCGGTTGGATGAAGCTACTTAAAAATTCTCGTTGAAATTCTTGCATGTTCATGTGCTACTATCCTGTCATTAATTTAGATTTAGCTAAATAGTGCCCTTGTTACTTTTGTACAGTCGGATTTCTTAGCTCTACATTTCCTGAATGAAGACTTATAATACGCATACGTTTAAATTAATATTAAGATTACTTGGTTAAGATTGGAAATTTTGAATTATTCAGAAGCTCCTCTTTAATGTATCTGTTTAAAACAAATAAATTTTATGTACATTCGTAATTAGATGTAGGTATTTTATTCAATCTTTTCCTTGATTTAATCGCTACGCTTGACAGATAATTTTAATTTTTTCAGTACTTTTATTCATTTTACAACATAGTTCTTGTAAAACTCTTTGCATTATGACGTCGTTCTTATGAGTAAAATTTTAAATAATTTTTTCAGCGGTTTATCTCTTGTTAGATAATTTTTTTTTTTTTTTTTTCTTATTCATTCAATTAATTTATAAAATATGTAACAAACCAATATTTTAAATAATCAATCATTTTTAGATTTTTTATGTTTTATCTGAATTATAAGTATTATTCATGCGACAAGAACATTGTATTTTACCACAAAAATAATTGTATTTTATTAATAATCGTCGTAAAAAACGTAGAAATTTGTGATTTTCTAAGAAAAGTGAAAAAGTGAAAAACAGAAATAACGTTATTACGTTACATATAACTTATAAGATTATTTTATATTCAATAATATAAAAGCAAAGAAACAGTCAAAATAGCATGCTAAATCTAGATCGTACATCAGATGTGTGAGAGTATGTAATATTAGTTTTTAGTAGAACTAATTAGAGTTTTTAATAGAAGTGACTATAGGTGAGAAGTGTGTTGTAATAAGATTTGGGTGAGATTCGGAGATGAATTTGGTGTCATGAATTCAGTTTTTAGAAACAGTACAGAGGCAATGCAAAATTGCGAATGTAGAAAGGATGCAGGGCCGCTTTAGGGCTCTCACGCTTATCGAATGTTAATGACCCTAATGAACGTAACCGGAGCAGCCGGAGCACAAGGGCAATGACACAGACGCTCGGTAGTCGAGAGACAGAGATAAGTCGCCGTCATATGAATGCGTTCATAAAAATACATGTTGCATACAAGTGACTTTTCTTTCGTCCTATAAGCATCCTACTGGCATTTGGTTATTATTTATTTATGGATATACGAACTGCTCGACACTCCGAAGCGAACATCTTGCGAACCTGTTTGACCACGCCGAGTACGAGAACGGCATCTAGGACGACAACGAGAGCGAAGACAAGATTTCCTATAGTCACATATTCAGCTTATTTTTATTTTTCATAGGGCAATCGGCCGATTGTGAATCTTCACGAAACAATTCGTAGGATTATGGATTTTCTTAGGAGTCGGTGGAATAACTCGGATTTTATTAAAACATTGACAGCTCATCGAAATTCGATTATTTATTAATTGGTCCTTTTTTATTATTCACTCCTCCCTCCCATCCCATCTCTATCTATCTATCTAGCTATCTATCTATCTAGCTATCTAGCTAGTTAGCTAGCTATCTTCGCTCTCACATTTACCTACCGTATAGTATGATAATCATTTAATTCTTTTCACATATTTTTATCCATCAGTGTCAATTTTATCGTAATAGTTTATAAACATTATTCAACTCTTTGAACTTATAACCATGACGTTTTTGATCGCTTCTATATGTGCTTCATGTAATTATATATTCGCTTAAAATATTTTAATATTTATAATGTAACATTGAAGTGTTTACTTTATTCGAACGTAGTCGTGAAATGAGTTAAAATAATTTTTGCCTACTTATTATTTTACCTCTTAAATATTTACAAGTTTAATAATGACATACTTCGACGTCTCTTCGATATTAAGATTTAATTTCACCTTCATTCAATTTTTCACGTTACGTATCACTATTATATCTTTCTTCAATCGTACAATGTTAAATTTGTTAAGAGAACAATTAGATATTTTTCAGATAAAGCATCGTACATTTTTATCCACGTAAAATTTGAATATATTGTTAATGATTTGATTTTAAATGAAAGATTTAAAAGATAAAGTGAATAGGAAATTCCACGAGATATTCGTCAAATGCCTAACTTATTATGAGACTATGTGGACAGTAATAAGCTGCAGATGCGAACAGCAACTCGCGAGTGAGCTGCCAATAAGTAGATGAAGGTGTCCCGTCTATCGTCAGTTCGTGGCGACGAGTCTCCCCTGGTCAGCTTGAGATCTCTGTCTGACCGTAGCCTCAGCGGAATCACTGACTCGACCGCGTCAGCTCGAGGGTGGCCAACGAAATCAGTAACGTCTGTGCGACCGGGAATCAACAAGTAGATGATTGGCGCAGGCGCGCATCGCCTTGGAGCGCGCAAGCAACGTTGGCCAGATAATCGCGGCGCTGGCCGGTCGTCGACGTCGTCTGCCGTCAGTGTCCGACGCCGAGCAAACGGAGGCACGTCGTCGAGAGCGCGCTACTCCATCTTTCCCCCCTGGTCGCTTTGTCGCCAAAACACCGACGGAGACAAGGCAACTCGAGCCGAGAATGTGGCCCTTCGCGAGCTGAATCCCTGCCAGGCTCGCGGAACCCGTTCTCCACATACCTCGCGATAGTACCTGGGCACGGCAAGCAGCTACTGCTTCAATACGGAGAGGTGCCGAAGTGCGCTCCCTTCTTTCGTAATTAGGGACTCTGGATTTATTGGCCTTTCCCGTCACTTCCCTCTTCTTCGTCGATTCTTCTTTCAATTTCCAAGCCTTCACTCGGCTAACGTTTTTTCAATACGCATCAGTAATCAAGGTAACTCGATACTATATCTTTTTCCCTCTTTGACCTCACTTGCAGCTCAGCCGATCCAATAGCTTTACTGATACATCATCTGTAAATCTGCAAAGACAGCGACTCCGTTCGACTTTTTCATTATTCGTAGATAATCATCTATGGGTGCTCCAAAATACGCTCGCGCGTCATCCTCGAGTTAAGAAGACTATTGCTAATTGAATCCAGCTCTATCAATTAGTATTGCATTATAATTTACTAATAAGCAGCAGGAGCATTCAGAGCAACTTTTGATCTAGAAACAAAAAAATCATAAATGTGAGCGAGATACATTCTTCTCCGAACTTAAACTGAGTTACAAGTTAAGTGAGCTTAAAATCTTTGCCTATCCATCTTAAAGATGAAAGTTATAACTAGACAAACATAGTGCATGCTTATCTCTTTTCATAAGAAATCATAATTTTCCGTTTATAAATTATTATGTGAATGAGGTGCTGCCTTTAACGGCAATACTTATAAATACATTAAATTTCTATTATATATCACACTATAACGACACATTTTGTTATTACAGTTAAATTTACCCATCCCCATACGTAGCGTATTTATTTATTCAACTATTAAAATATAATACCAATTTAGAAGTTATTTTCAAAATTTATTTTCTCCATAGTTATTTTGACATAGTTATTTGACAAGCATTTTTATCATAATACATATAAAATTCATTAAAAATATACAAATTTGTTTTGTACGAAATTGTGTTCTAATGCGTTATATCCATTACATTTTATGAAAAGAGAAATTGCCAGCAAGAATTTAACACTCTGGATGATGAAATTTTAAGTATATAAAATATATTATATAATCAAATTACTCATTAAATATAAATTTTTATAATAAATCATGTATTATAGAGAAATCGTAGAATTATAACAAATTGCAAATTCAATTTGTATAAAATTCTTCACGAAAATACGCACGATAGATTTGAATCGATAAAGAGTAAGTTCACCCTTCCACTTGTTAAAGGAAATAATATTTAGCCTTTTAGATTAGTTCAATTAAAAAATTTTATGAGCCTATCTATCTGGTAATTATTATAATTACTAAATTACGAAAATTACGAAAAATTACTAAAAAGGATATTATATTTCGATAATTTCGATGTTATTTGTTTATGAAATCTCAATAAATTTTATATTCTTCTTTTATATTAATCAACATCATCCACTGATCTTTTATTTATATTAATTTAATAGAGGGGCCAATGACTCTTAAGCGATGTGAAAGTGATCATATTTTATGCTCTGATATAATATTAAGAATGTATCACTTTTAAATTATATCAATTTATTCTCTAATTATTATATAGTAATTATTGTTAGACATTTTGTTAATGATTATTATAACTTGTATAAATCTAACAAGACATCGTAAAGTAGAATGGGTATATTTACTAATAAATATACAGACTAATAATATATACTACTAATAATAAATACTACTAATAAATATAAAGAAATTTCATAATCTTATATATTGTAAAATGTGAAATATCTTTAAAAAATAATTGAAATGTCAAAAAGTTTCGTGTAGGCAAATAATCACTCGCAATCAGGAACTCCTTGAAATAATCACTTTGTTTCCTTTCGTATGAATTATCTATATAAAGTATGAAAATAGTGATATATATTATAAAAAAAAAAAGAAAAAAAAAACTAATAAGAAGTGATGAAATTTATACGAATACAAATTTTAGTCGGATGATATAAAATATTTTAGTGGTTTATTATAATTGTAAATGAATATTTATTATAAAATGAAAAAAATGGTGTCGTCTTCTTCATAATAAAATCATGATTTGATTTTAGTATGACAAGGTACGATTTAAGTATCTTCTTATCGTGTATATAATATTTTACAAATTGAAGATAAATTATTTTCAAGTTAATTTTTTTTGTTTTTTTTTGTTGATGTTGTATTTTTTGATTTATCACCGGAAAACGGTATTTGACATTTATAACTATAAAAATGTTCTACTTTGATATTTAAATTTTATTTATATATAATAAGATATTGGTCATTTATGAGCAAAATTAAATAAATAAAATTGTAAAAGCATTATACGAAGGACATCTAAAAGTAAGTAGAAATATATGAATAAAAAACGTTGTTAAAATGACGAACGATCTCCACATAATAACTAATAACCTAATTATATGTTTGGGAATGCTTATTGTACTATACGTAATACACACACACACACACACACACACACACGCGCGCGCGCACGCACACGCACACGCACACACACACCACACTACACACAACACAAAATACAACACACACACACACACACACACACACACACACACACACAAAATAAATATTTTTAACTTAAAGCCGGTTTGAAAGTTCATTTAATCAGCAGTCATATCATAGATTGGTTATGGCCTTGAAATGAGATTGCCATTTTCCGAGGAAACAGTGCGAGTGCTTAGTGCGATGTGCCAATGGATCGACGAAGTAGCTCGTAGCTTTTATAGCTAATTTGTTATTCTCGTCGGTGAATGTTGATGAATGTTGATGAACAATGAATCGAAGATTTAAAAGAGCTTGTAATAGTTAGGTGATCGTTTGCTAGATGTACTTAGTCCTATTATGTCATGGTGCGTCTCAGTAGTAAGCTGATGCCTTTCGAGGAAGGAGAAGCAGAGCGCAAGTGGACGAGGCAGTGGGAGGGGGAGATAAGATAGCGGTGCCGCGGCTTGTACCTTCTTATCGTTCATACATTATATACATAGGCGGAGGTGAGCGAGCGATCGCGCGCACCTGCACGAGCTGCTATTTTACCTCGGAGATACGTGAGTGTGGCGCTTATCGGCACTCTTATCTTTGACCTCTGCACCATCTATGCCGTGGCCGCGGTATGCATTATTTTATGTCGTACACGCATAAATTATATTTACAATATTGGTTGCGTGATATTTTTATATTATGCGTAAATTAGCAGGCCAAAGTTCGAAAGTTCGTATCATTTGTTCGTGAAGTTTTTGGGGCCTTCGATAACTTTGCACCGCAGTCTTCGACTTTTCAACGGTTTTAACAAGCCTTTCAATATTTCACCGCTTGCATCTTTTAATACTCTATGTTTTCTCTCCTTTGTACATTGTACTTTCTATTGAATTTTATCTTAAACCTCACCTTTCCATAGCCCAATTACCGAAGATCGTTTTAGCGAGACATTTTGTTATCTCTATTTTTTCCGACTCCCGTTTTCAACATGCATTGTGATTTTTATTTACTTTTTGCTTTAATAGGGGTTGGCTGATTCTTTGCCGTTTCATAAGTCTCTTATTTAAAGATACCACGTAACTGCAAGTATATTATTACCTCTGAGTATTCGTAACTACTTGATTTTTATTTTGTGGTCAACTTGGTGCATATTGTAATAGAAGGCATGCATATTTATTAAACGCTTAAGATGGATGCGATAACTTGAAAAAAATCGTAAATTACCGGCATTTTGGCGTTAGGCGTGTAATTTGTAGCGAACAAGATCCTTATCATATTCATAGCTCCTTTACGAAAAGATAATTATCACCGACTGCTCAAGTGTCATCCATGTATTTCAATATATGAACTTACAATGTACGTGATATATATTTCAGCATTTACTTGGTGATTGGTATTAACGCATATGGACTTTAGTATTTTCATTCCGAAAATCTTGTTATTATAATATTTGACAACTAGATGGAATCAAAAAGAAAAAAAAGAAAAAAAGCAGCTCGCATAAGATTAAAAATGCTCTAATCTATCATTTATTTGTTACCAATATATTTATATTATACCAATAATTAGATTTTACCAATTATATCAAGACAAATATATTTAAAAAATATGTTTGTTTATAATTTATAAAATATATGTTTAGTTTTCGACCTAATAGAATTATAGATGCTGGCCTTTTTTATCTTTTACTAAATATGTAGTTTACCGGTTTAGTGTACACGCGTTGTTAATAGCTCAACTGACCTCCACATTGCGATAATTTACTTGAAAAATTTATTATCGAAATGCAAAATATAAGAAGTAGAATGATGTGCCTAGAACATGGTTATTACTACGCATCCATAAAGTAATATATAATTTATGTAAATATGTGATTAAGTGCTTTGTCAGCATAAATGCAAAACTCACGATCCTTCGATAGTTTTTACTTTAGGCGAATGTAGTGCCCTCTTGCAAATTTTAAATATCTTTAGACTCTCAAATCTAGCATATAATTTATTTGTGTGTGTGTATGTGTGTGTGTGTGTGTGTGTGTGTGTGGGTACGAGCGTGCATACTCGTGTATTTATCTATAAGAGATGCAAAAAAATTGAGAAGGTCAATTTTAAGAAGAAAATGGGAGGATGAAAACGAGCGAATGAGTGAGAAATGAATAAAAGAGCGCGAGTTCGCTTATAAAACAATAGGGCTTTTGAGAATTCGATAGGTTAGCTTTTTAAGCTTTTTGTGTGCCGATTAAATATTGTGTAAAAATAATGTCGATTATGTAATATTTCGTGATTGTTCTATTCTTTTCGGTTGTTTAAAAAGTTTAAAGTAACAAAAATATAGGCCGGAGTACATTTAATTTAATATTGCATTTTATTTGTTTGAAAGTTATTGGGTTGTATGATAAGTCAAATATTAACTATTAAGTATTGAGGTATTGGGACAGTGAATAGGTGAATGCAGTTTACGCGAGCAATAAAATAGTAATAAATCCAAACTGTGTCTCGTCCATTCTACATCATAGGCATCTTTAACAAAAGCCAGATAATTGAATAGCTGAGAGCCATAGGGCAATCAAGGGGTATAAATGAGTTTTAGTGCTTGTTCTTTTTCGCCTTATTTCCGATCGACATCGCTATATTTATTTGCCCTGAAGACTCGCGCGCTTTGGCTCGACCCTTGCTTTTATAAAACATGTCGTACTCATCATTTTCTCAATACCTCCCCTCTCCATT